CAATCATTCTCACGCATCCATGTGCATCAAAAGAAATTTAAACATATATTTACGTAGAGAAAACTTGTTAAGGGCTGGATTTTGGAGAGGCAGACTTGGCTAAAGGGAAACCAGAAAAGTCATATTTTCTTCTTTCTTTTTTTTTTCCCATGTTCGTAGAGCAGCTTGGTGCTGAAACGGATTTGATATTCATGCACTAATACCATTTATTTATGCAACTCTTACGGATTTTTTGTTTGGTGAAAAGTTCGAAATGGCTAAATGATCAGCTTCTTGTACTCGTCTGTTGTTACTTGTTATAGAGTGAGATTCTGAAGAAAGTTGAAAATTTTTCAGATTCTGGCTCCAGCATGATGCGCTATTTCTACTGCTACAAAATCTAATTATAAAAAATAACGCAGACGCACATAAAGCTTCAGATATAATCACCTAAAATCTTTTTGGTAGATTTTGAATTTTAAATTTTTGGTTATTTATTTAAAATATCTAAAATATGTAGCTGTAAAAACCAATGAATTTGGATTGAAATTTTTGTAGAAAAATGTATTACAGATATATGTATGAAAAAAAATTGTAGATTTGTGGTAAACTTTAATGAGATATGATCACCTAACTTTTTGGTAAACTTTTAATCGGGTAGAACTGTAGAAGTAGAACAATCCAACGAGACAAACCAAACTTCTAATCGTGAGTTCAGATAGAGAATCTCCACCTAAAACTCTCTCTCTCGTTCAACTAATTAATTACTGTGCTTAAGGAGGTCTATCATCTATGCCTAGCTAGACTCAAATAGAAGAAGGCCACCCCTGGACTGGAATGACATGCACAACTCCCAGTGAGTTGCAAAACATTTACATCCCCTCAGAGACTGAGAGACCCACGTCCATCATTAAGCAATTCAAGCCAAAGTACGGCTGCTGCATTACAGAGTGGAGACATTAAGAACTTAAAGGCTACAAACTGAGCTGAGAAGTGAGAACTCAGCCGAAGGAAGCTGTAGGGTTAGGGTTGGTTGGTGTAGCAAAGGACTAAAGACAAGAGAGTGTTATGGTACAAGAATCCGTCAAAACTCAAAAGAACACAGCGGATTTTGATAAGTTGTGAGATGTCATTGCTGAGGGCCCTTAAAACTGACTCAGGAAGATTTACGGCAAGATCTGTGCAAAAGAAAGATAAGAAGGAGACCAGAAATATTCTCCTCCATCTAGCTTTGCTTGGCTAACTGGCCGAGGGGGTAACTATGAGTGTGAGGTACATGGTGGAATAGGAAGTGGGGTGTCTAGCTAGGCCCTTCCAAGCAAGCTTTTTTTACCATGAAGTTGTATATATTTTCGCTTTACGTCATTTCCATCAGCAGTGGCCATGATCGAAAACGGAAAAAGGAGGAACAACTCGATGCTACAATGGTACAATCAATCAATAATATTTTTAATCCAGCTCAAGCCTTAAGGTGCTGCTAGTCTTTTGATTGCTTTATCTTTCCTTTTTAAAGAAAAAATGAAAAAAAAAAGTACATATAATTAAGTGTACAGGGGTGTACTTTTCTTATGGCTAAGCTAGCTTTAATCTTCTCTTTGTACCAACTAAACTAGTCAGAAAGCCAATGCCCTTTTGAGTTTTGAGTAGATGTTTTAATTACTCTGTTAAATCTAACTTTTTGAGCCATCTAATCATAAGCTCCACATATAAAATTAAACTCATATATCTATGATTAAGCCTCTCTTTATTCCACTTTGGGGTCTTTCACATGTTTAATTGATTATTAAGTTCATATGCCCTAATTATTGCGCAACCCCATTAGCATATGTATCCCCATCATTGCAGCAAAGACAAAATTCTCTCTCTTTCTGTTCTTCTCTGGCTTGGTAGCCAGTTAAAAATCGTCACATTACAACTAATATAAATCGTGAACACAAAAGTTGAGCACTTTAGCTTCATGCAAATAGGCATCCCATAAGGCCGTAATTCTCCACTAAGCAGGCAGCATGGTGCCTACTTTGTGGGGCAAAAAAGGCACGCTTTAGATGATTTTGTCCCATTTGATTCACCAACTGAATTAGGATAAACAAAAAAGGAATAACAATTTGAGATTGATTATTCAAAACATTGTTTAATCTTTCTAAGCTTCCACCATATAATACACATAGGATGACCAAACATGAAATTGGCTAAATGATCTCTAGTATTTGTCATTGAACTTATCGCATAGTATTTGTGAGTGCAAAGAATTACGTCTGACAAATATGCTTTTTCAATCTTCTTTCCATCTTGGATAGGTAATTATTTTGGAAAAAATGACATTGGGTAGATAGTTATTTGGGAAAATAGTTGATTGTATCTTAAATATATATACTTTTCAATTTATCTTTTCAACAACCTTTTTTATCTACATCACATTTCAAAAATTTTCTAAATAATCTCCTATCCAGTCACTCAGATATTCCGGTGTACATTATTGTCTACACCTGACAAAATTATCAAATTTTCCCTTTAATTTATATTCACATAATGTTCATTTATGTACAAAACACAATAAGTGAAAGTGGGATAACTCCCATTTCGATTTAGAAAAATACTACTATAATGTAATGTAATAAAGTAAAAGAATGATCGGAAGATGTATCAAGAGAATTTTTCAACGAAAACTTGTTGCAATGCAAACAAGGCTAGAGAGATGAAATCAGGAGGAGCGTTTTTCTTTTTTTTGTTTTGTTTCATTCACTCTAGGGGATCAAATAATCGTAGGGGAAACAAGACTAGCTTCTCTCCACATAATAATAATGAGGCAAAGGTTCAGTCACAGAAGCAGTTGTTGATTTTTAATTCGTTTCAATGGAAATTCAACACTGAACCAAAATTGGCGGAAGGTGTCTGAGATTGAATGTTGCCTCTGATGAGTCACTTGGTGTGCAAGTTTGCAATAACAAGAAAGATAGGTTTCCAAATAACATAGAGCTTATCGTTTTATCCCATGACAGGCTGCCTATTTAATGGCTGGCCATGGTAGGAGTATTCTTCTTTTTCTTTAGCACGATATGACACCTAAATATATCCTCCTCCTGGAGACACCACTAAAGCTCTTCTTAGATTGGCTCTATATATTCTTACACGAAGGATTGAGATTTGAGGAGGGACCCTTTGTGGACCGAACCCTAGATAAGAAAAGTCTTTAGGATATCTACACTGATCTGTCTTTTGGCCGACAAACATTTTGCCTTTTTTCTTGTCTAATTTTTATATGCCACTATGGATGGACGTGAACTATTTCACCAAGCGATGGAGAGATGCCTCAGTCCTTCCTGTTGTTACTCGACCATTTGTGCCTAAACTCTAAAGCGTTCTTTCGAAAAAGTTAACCTAAGTGCACAGAGGGATCATAGGAAGAGGCAAATATTTGAGATCGGCATATCCTTAGATTGCGGCTCATGCACCCACATGCATGACTTGCTCATTCGGGCATCTTTACAAGCATATAGTTTAAATCAAAGGAATAAATTATGGGGAACTTTTGGAAGTTGGTTTAAGTAAGTAAAAGATATCGAGTGTGTTTAAATAGAGAGTTCCTTTTTTCTAACGAATGCAAGTCAGACAGGTGTGATTTTCGATTATTTAAGAAACAAACTAGAAATTGCGTCTAATAACAAAGGAGAGTTGGACAACGAATTGCGATTTAATTGATAAAACACTTCATTTGTGATCGAGAGACGAAATGAGTTTCAGTCATAAATAAATAAGTACAAAATCACTATTCATCTTTTTTTTTTTTTTCCCATTTTCAAGGATGGTTGCTAATTTTACATGCCGCAACGGTATTAAGCTCGTGCAAAGGTTATTTTGCTGTCTCGAAGAGCAACAGATACAATCAGCCATTTGAAAGGCTATCGGCTAATGAGGGCCAAACATGGACAAGCATTATGGGAAGAATCGTAGCAGATTCAATTGAAAAATGAGTCATGGATTCTGGTAATAGTCATCCAAAAGCAAGAGGTTAGAACTAAGTGGAGGAGGAATGTTGTCCCACAAAGCTAGGGCCAGTGGGTCTCCAGGTGTCCCAAGTTCAAATAGAGATGGTGGCTACGTTGATAGGTGATATTAACTCTTTTTTTTTTTTTTTCCGTCGAGGTAGATGACGTTATTATTATTAACAACCTGAGCTCTTTGTTTCAAAATTGCTCCATCGGCCTTGGAGAGGGACAGCTCCAATATTTGCAAAGTGATCTGTAAATATGCCTACTCAGTCATGTAGTATAATGGAGGAAGGGATTAATCCTCGCCGTCTTATCACTTTTGTACAGATATGGAACCTTTCCTCACCAGGTGTACAATTTTTTAATATCAATACAAATCTTATTATTGTTTTTGGCCAACAAAAACAAAAAGATACGGAATATCTTCTCGTCTCGCCAAGGGGCTTTACTTAACCGCTGTACATATTGGTTGCTTGCTGCCGCAGCCCTAGCGGCCTATTCCACCTACCCTCTCTTTCGTTTTGGTTTTACCCATCATTCCTCACTCTACTCTCTCCTTCTGCCCTTGAGCTCTCTTAATTTTCCACATTTCCTCTCTTTTTTATCCTGGAAATTTGGTGAACTCGTCCCTTTGTTTTTGAACCAAAGCTCTCAGCTTGTGGGCATGCAAGAACAAAACTTCAAACCTAGCAAAAGAAGCTATAAAAGAAAAAAAAAATAGAAAAGAAAAGAAAAGGAGAAAACTTCTAGTCAGCTAATCTATAGGCCTTAATTTCCTGGTGATCTGGGATTCCTTTTTATGCGAGTTTCTCACTCGTGGTTGCAGAATTGGGGGATAAATGAGCTCGCAAGGAAAGCCAATGGATACAAATCAAATGAGGTCCTCAATACTACGATATCATGCAACAGAATCTGTGTGTGTTATCCAATAGCATCACCTCGAACCCATCCCTTCTCGACACAAACTAAGAAAATTGAGGCTTCGCATACCACGACTTTGATTTCTCCCATTCCAACCACCAAATTTGGAAATTTTCAGAAATGAAGGTTGCTCCTCGCTTTGATTGAATAAGAATTGCAAAATCAAAACATGTTCCCGCAACAAAACCATGATCACTAATCATACAACTCCACATGTAGGAAGTTACACGACCTAAAAACAATATGATCAGCAACATTGCTATGTAATATCAAGTTTTCTCAGGCCAGAAGAATCTCCTTACCAGCCTGTACAACTTCTATAGATTCACTTCCCCGCAAACCATGAAATGTCCGGGAGAAGACATGGAAGTCTGAATGCAGACCAGAAGTGATAATAGTAAAAGAGAGGCTATGCCACTTGTTAAAGCTTCTGAATTACTACTGAATTGGCTAGCCCTGCCTGCTCTATTGTCTGGGTGGCATCAGTGAGGACTTTGGGAGGAAATCCGACAGTCTGTAGGTGGTATGCTCTAGCGCTGCCGGGTCTAGATGCATCAATGAAGGCGCGGATATCGCCAACAGTATGATTATAGTTGAAGTGAGCAACTAGGCGGGTTCCATCAGCCAGCCTCAGTTGAATGGAGGTGGATGGCAATGATTCATCTACAACTAGACCCCTTGAAGGGGATGGAGCAGTATTAAGAGGGGCACTAACAGTTGGCTCAGGAACTTCCACAGCTGAAGAAGTGCTACCAAGAGTTCTTCCCACACCCTGGAAAGGGACATGACGTTTCTCTGGCTCCTGCAAGCACAACCAGCAAACAATTTCTTCACTACTATTTTGACTCTTTACACGTACCGAGAAAAAAATAGAACACCATCATACGCTACTCCTACTTCAGGAAGGCAGGAAAGATGCATGCAAAGCTAGTCACAGAGATTATGGCAGGTGTTTGTGGCAAATCAAAAGCTAAGTCACATATCTGAATAGCTCCTATCTTGAAAAGAGAGATATGAGTACCCTACTAGCACGCAAAACGCAAGCGTGCTATTTTAAAATCAGGCCCACTGTTTTTTTTTTCTTTTTTCCCCCCCTTAAATCTCAATGCCCCACTGTTGCCATTTGTACCATTTACCAAATAAAAATAAGGATTCCAACAGGAATATTGATAACAATGCAAAGAGGACAGAGATGAACAGGAGCTCACAGGGTAATTCTCCTCTCTTCTTGTGAGGTTGACACTAACTTGGGACCTCCTATCTGCTGGTTCCAGCTCTTTTGGGCACTCGGACCTTCTAATGCTCTGAAATGAGAAATTGCCATATAAGAACATCCTTATCAGTGCCAAATTCCGGAATTAACAAAACACTACAAGATGACAATCAAAGGCTGCACCAGAAAAGCAACTTGCCTTCTGCAGCAACTTAAAAGGCAAAAGAAAACCTTCTTAAAAGCACAAGCATATATAGTCGCATAGCATCTAGAAACTCCTAAATACCTTTTCAATTTTCCCAGAGTCTATTTGGCACTTTTACACGTATTTCTCTTACCTCCAAGAAAGGTGCATTCTCAGGATCATCCAACCTCCTTAAAGGTCCATCATTAATGGTGAAACCATTTCTCCAGAAAGCAATGTTGTGTACAACTGCCTCAGGTTGTTGCGGTGCAGATGGCACGAATTCTCCATTAAGTGATCTTCCAGTTCCAGAAAAGCTTCTTGAACTTGAAGATGGACGAAGATTCTCTAGGGGACCTTGCACGGCACCCATTTGCCTAGCTTGGTCAAAAATGGCATCCACGTCATCACCCTTTGAAGGATCTTGGACAAGCATACCACTGCAATCATGTCATAACTAGAGTTAGACCACACAAATCATTCAGAAGAATCAAAGATATAGCTAGACATTTACTCATTTTTAGCCACCACAATGTAAATCACTATTGTTTGCATCGAAGGATAAAATTGAACTTTTCATAGCATTCACCCAACTCACTAGGAACAAAGAATGATGAATGAAGGGAAGAAACAAAGAAAACCAAATTGATAAGAGAGATATTAAGAGATTAAGCTCACCAATGTTAGATGAATCACTTTAATTCCTATTAATTATTATCCTACATGGTAACAATTTCCTGAAGAACCCATTTTATATCAAATCAAAAGCTGCCTTCATATGTAGGTAGTACATAAAGCATCTTATTTGGCTCTTCAAGCACTGCACCAAGAAACAAATTTTGCGATGATTATAATACAGCCCATCAATAATGAGCTGTACAGCTCATACATACTTCGAAACAAGTACTAGTATTGACCCTGAAGTGGTACCAATCCAGTATGTTTGGAGGCATGCATACTTTTGATGTGTCTGTCTGAGTAGGCATGCTCTCTTGATAAGATATTTACTATTGTGGTGTGTACCTTTGGTTCAATGAGAATTTCATAAAAAAAAAAAAGACAGGTAATTCCAAGCTTATCAGGTTGCCTGATGACCAATTTAATTGTTGACTGTCTCCAGTTATGTTGGCTCTGCGAACCATACATCTTTAACACCAAAATTACACTAACAGACAAGTTATCAAATTCTACTAAATCCACTTTATGGCATCCGTAATCAGTATTAAATAACTAGCACTACTGATTGATTAATGCCATGCATTAAAATTCTCATCACATTGAGTAAGAAATATACACTAGCATTACATAATGTGATATTATCAATAGCTCATCACTTACTTCTTGACTAAAACAAAATTGTACGAGAACCTAAAATATAACTGACACTGCACATTCAGCATACAATCATGAATAATTGGTGTGCATTAGGGCGACAGTATACAGAAGGAAGCTCTTTAATGCATTTGTTGGACCACACCACATCAACAGCTATTGCTTGCTTCTTCAGTTTGACACATTCTGGGTGAAACTGAGGATCACCTAGATAGCATGTTCCTATCACCAATATACCTATCTATTATATGCTCAGAAATAGTAATTGAACAACTAAAATTATAGTTTTGCATTCCAAATAAAGCTGCCCTGAAAACCAGCCCAACAAAAGCATTCTTTGAACATAAATTGAATTAGCAAAACAATATATTCAAACAACGAATTTTTTATGCTCTTAAGTTTGTCTATTTGGCCAAAAAACAAAAACATTTAAGCAGAGGTCTGGTCATAAAATTTGGCGCATGCACAACACAATGCAAGAGATATACCATTCGCCAAAAGACCATTAAATCATGGCATATGCACATAAAACAGAGGCGAAAGGACAAGGCATTACAATGAGTTCATAGAAGTGCACTATAGTGACTGTATTTCTGTCAAACAACTGGTGAATATTTAGGCTGTCAACTACTACAGCTTCCAGCTAGCAGTTTTCTCGTGATTAATCAACTAGAAATGCTCTGAGTTTCTCCCTCTTAACAGAAATTAACCAGCTCATACAGATTTCTTCCACAAAGCTCTATGGTATATAATTCAATCAAATACAAATTTTTTTCATTTCCTACTTTCTCAAGGTAAAAGCTACCATACATAGTGGCAAATCCTATCCTGCCAAACACGTGTTTACAAGCTATCATGTCAACTACGAGAGGCAATAGTGAAGTAATGCATGCAGACGAGACAGACAGAGCACATGTATTAACTACATACGTGAGACACATCTTAATTATCACCTTTCTTGTGGCGTCACAGATGGCTCCAAAGGTTTTGCAACATTATACATACTATCACATGGGAAATTTCCTTGTATGACAGATGACCTCAAAGTCAAAGGTCACCGGGGATAACTGTAAATTTACCCAAAAAAAAAAAAATGGCAATGCAAGGAAACACTTTCATGCTTCATTTCCCAGGGAATTATTTGGAAAAGAGCACATTCCACATCCAATCAAAAGCAGCCCAGAAATACTGCTGTCTTCATTTCTCTTGATATCCCAATTCCAATCAACACATAAATTTAGCTACAATGGGAGTGATCTTCCAAGAACTGATATGGGGAAAAAAACCAACTTTGGCACAAATTGGCGTTTAAGTTATTTGAAACAAGCCCCAAGTTTCTAAGTTTCTTTTAGTGAGAACAAAATTTGTAGCCGAAATCATTAATAAAACAATACTAATATCTATAACCTGTAATAACATACTAAACAATAGCGTCCGAATTTCATAAACCCTAACCTATCCAACTGTTATACGTATCAAATTCAATCTGCAGTGGAAGCTTCCCGTAATTACGGAATCTAGAAAAAAACTCATTCAACAATTTCAAGAGCTCCAACCATAAGCCTAAAAATAAATAGGAGTAACAAATTTAAGGACATGCAAGCATCATTAATTGACAAATAATGATTCCAAAGTAGACCTCTTTTCACCGCCGGTATAGTACTCCTGAGGAGCACCATCGTCGCTGTCGGAATCGTCGCCGGCGGAGGGGCGATTCAAATCGGAGAGAGTTCGGATTCGTCCGCTGCCGGTACGACTGCTGCTGGAGGGTTTTGAGGGTTTCTTATCGCGCGAAGACATGGTTGCCGTCTGAAAGACGATGATGGATTTTGGATACTTTTTTTCTTATATCTTTTACTTCCAATGCATATATATATATATATATATATATATATATATATATGTATATATAGCTATATAAAAATTAGCGATAGACTGTAGAGGCTATTACCACGTAACAGGCACCAAGCAAAGTAATATTCGGTGCTTGAGTTTACAGCTTTGAACATTTAATAAAGATTAAGAAGACTTTTGTACTACCACGGAAAAACTGGTGCTGGCAATGGGGCCCCGTGGGGCCTTGATGTCTCGCTTATAACAGTAGATGGAAGAATCGTGTTCGGCTCTCGATCAGAGTCTTCAATTAAATTAAAATCAAGCAATATTAATAATATGTTTCTTAACCTCTTAATTCCAGATCAAAGGAATTAAATTTACTTTTATATCCCAACAAGATTTAATGGTCATTAATTTTATGATTTATTCCAACCACAAAAATTTTGAAATCGCTTCTAAATAAGATTACTTTGAATATGATTTCAATACCGCTTTATTTTTATTTTTGTTCTTTTACCCAAAGAAGGATAATATTTACAAAAAAAAGGGGACGAAAAAATTTCAATCCAACGTCTCTATCTCTTAAATTGCATCCTAATTTAGCATATCTCGTTATATTATTTTCAAAATTTAAGTGCATGTTATACAAAAGTAACTTTCAAATTTAAAATAATGAAATCCTGACTTTTATACACTCTCACATTCACTTTCCTTTTTTAGGGTTTGGACTCTCCTTTAAAAAAAAAAGGTGAAAAAAGTTTCGTTTCAATTACTATTTTTAGAAATTTTCATTCAAAAAATATTATAACATTTAATATATTTGACATAAAAAAAATAATTGAAAAACGTGTTCCCGAAAAACATAAGAAATTTTCTGCGCAAAATCACAATCCAAACAATTCTTTACCCCAAAGAAATATTTACAGTAAGCGCGAGTAGTTCAAGGGTCACTAGGCTTTTTCTGTTTGGTACAATACTTCCAGGCGGTTCTAAAGCTCCACCTGAAGACTAACGAACTTGACAGCTGCAGATAGATCACCTATTCAACAACACGCTACAAGCTTGATGATTAATCTTTTATAATGTTACAAGTGAAGAAAATCTTTAAACAAAATCAAACTGGGGTTTTTTCCCCAGAGGATTGGGGCGTCGATTCTCTCCTTCGATACTGAGTAGAGATCTTTGACGGTTTGTAGCGCAGTCGACGTATTCCTGGAGAGGTGGAAGCGACACTTGCCCTTCACCTGCATTGGCTTGCCCTCGTATAATCTATCATCCAAATGGAGAACATATAGATTGTCAGAGACCTTCGCACAATGCAACTGATGTCAAATTCATTAAAAGATTAATGATACCTTTGATGCCCAACGCCTCTCTGCTTGTTGGCAAACATCCCTGATATCTCGACCTGACATACTGCGCTTGGCAAATAGTTCAGCAACAATTCTAATTCGTTAATGATGTTTTAAAGTCTAATTTGTGGAAACTCCAACAGCCAGCAGAACTTATGCTGTTTTTAGAATAGTTGACCTCATTGAAAACATGAAGAGGCAAAACACAGTTTAAACAAAGACAACAAAAATTTTCTGATGACAAGCGTGTTACAGTCCATCACTGCAAGAAGCAACAATCATACTTCCTGAAAGCATAGGAGAAGTCAAGTTGCTTCATTATCATTGTTGAGATATATATTAAAGATTGCGTTCGTCCAATGATCTTTAAGTAGGTAACCAGTAATCCATCATATTTAGCTTTTTCTTTTTTATCGTTCTTCTACTTTTAGGTGATAAATTTTGTACAAACTTACTTTTCTGTAACATTAGCAAATTCGGCTAGTTCAGATTGCGTCAAGTGCTTCGCATACTGAGCAGCAATTTCTTGGCGAGTCAGGTGATCCGGGAGGCTAAAAGTTATCATAGAATCAAACCGACTGCAAGGATGTTCATAACTTCAGCCATAAGCCTGAAAAAATAAAATAAAATGCTTTGCCGAGAAAAACACACACTTACCTAATTAAAGCAGGGTCAAGGTCTTGTTTCCTATTGGTTGCAGCAACTACTACTACTCTCTTCTCCTGCTCAAATCCATCGATCTGCAATTCACAAAGTTCAAAAATGATATGACAAAAAGGAGGTTCACCTCAGCAGCCGCCTGCTAGGTTATTGTGCTGCCGTATAGGGGGCTGTAGCATCCATGAGTTCTGAGACAGATAAATTAATTTTGAAGACAATAAAAAGGTATTGTGTAGCCCAATCATCTTTCTACATCTATCTAACAGCAAACTAGAGCACAGCAGAAGTGATGCCTGTCATGGAAAGTTCCTACTATTGTAGCTAATTCAGTTATCGAACAGGATATGAATCCCACATATGTCATCAAGTGCAAACCCAGAGAACAAAATCCAGAACCAGGCAAAAGAAGAAGGGAATAAGTTATGTTGATAGTACTGTTTCAAAGAAAGATAATGCAACAAAAGGAAAGAAATGACTTCATTCTCAAGTCCAAACATAAAAAATCTGAGTCTCTGCATACAAGGGGTTCTACATTATTGCTTCTTTCTTTCTGGGTTAAGAAGATTTCCAATTTCACCTGTCGCAATAGTACTGATAAAACTCTACGAGTTGCCTCATGTGTTTCACCATCACGAGCAACAGCAAAAGAATCAACCTGTTATAAGAGGACAGAAGGAACTACAGTTTTAGCATTAACGCAAAGAACTATTAGAGAGAAAATTGCCAAAATAAATTTTTGTGCAAAGTACCTCATCTAGGAAAACGATTGCACCCTTAGGTAGCTCATTGGCCAGTGAAAATGCTTTTCCCAATAAACGCTCACTTTCGCCATAATATTTCGACATGATAACCTCCAGCGGCACATATAATAGTGGTACACCCTGCCAAGACAGAAGAAAACTGTGTGTCTTATTCAATGAAACTGTAACACAAGAATACAAACTAGGGCTTTTTAATATTTTAGAGCACATCAAAGGGAACTGAGGCAAGGGGGGAAAATGAAAACAAAAAGAAAAAAAACCAAATGGGCTCTAGTGTAAGAAATATTCGTAATGTCCAAACTCAATCAAAGAGAACAATAAAGAAAACGTCTCTATCTAAAAATTACAAATTAATAATCAGGAACGGGTATGTAGTGAAATACCGCTTGATTAGCAATTACTCGAGCACAAGATGTCTTCCCAGTACCTGAAACCAAAAAGTTAGAATGATTGTAGCACTCTCTGCAGCAAATATATTGCCAAAATGTGTTAATTGCAGGTGGCATTATGCATGGCTAGTGCTAGTCAGTGAAACTCATGTGTATCTCACCCAATGTCAGTCTTGGCAAACAGCTTTCTCAGATGCACACATAACTGACTTGCAGAACTATTATAATCATCTAAAGGAAGATGCCAAACTTGCGTCTTAAAAGATTTTGAGTAGAAGTGGATAATGACAACTCAGAGTTCTAGAAGCATGGGATCCGGTCAGCTAACTCTCTTTCAGAATGAGTTTCAAAAGACACAAATATGCATAAAAATCAGCATAATCATCATAGTCCCTCTGCAAAATGGGAACTGTTGCTCCAAAAAAAGATACTTTGCAATAGAATAAAACAGTGCATAATTGAATGACAACTATCAAGGAAAGAAACAAGGGGCTCAAAGTGATACAACAATACAAATTCCAAAAATTCCCACTTCTATGCCAGCCACACTCAAAATGCTCTCCATCAAACACCATTCAACCCTACTATCTATTATTGGGATGGTACCCCACTAACTGGACACGTGCTCCTCACAGCCCCCTCCCCCATTTTATCTTTTTTCTTGTATAAAAAAGAAAATGAAAAAGAAAAAAAGAACCAAGCGATCTACTCAACCTGCATGTCAACATTCTACCTCCAAAAGCCACCATGAAAAGAACATCAGCAGCTATAATTTGTGGTGTCCTTGACTCCCCTACCAGGTATTTGTTGCCTGCTTTTTTTTTGTTGATTTTTAATTTATAGCTGTAGTTTGCATCAGAAAGACAATTTCAATAATTAGCACAGACACATCTTTCATTCCTTCTTCAATCTCTGCTTGCAGTTGATTACATTAAGAGAGACCAATGTGCAGAACCCATCACTCCAATTCATCACCACCAAACAGAACGTCTTTAACAATACCTTCTCAGATTGGTTCAGGTTAAATTCAAGCTAGTCACAATGAATCAACAATAGAGACCTATGAGTTGGTTATATGCAATGAGTAGATGCTTTGTTCATGGATGCACCAAACAATATAAATGTGTTGCTCATATTTTGGCAAAGGGAACAAACCTGGAGGACCTTCAAAAAGCACTGCTTTTGGTCTGTTGCTTTCAAACTTACAGCGTGTCCCACGAGCAATATCATCATATACTTCAGGACTTTGCAGTGCAAGCAATATCGTGTCTTCAATTTCTCTTGCATAAATTAAAAAAACAACATAAGTAATCCCTGCTAAATAAGAGATGACATGTATGTGTACTGCAGTATAAGATACATTTGCTTCTTCCCAAGATAGTGAAGCAGCACAACAAACTCTCACTCTTTTGAGAACTTCTAGTCCTAGTTGGTATAACACAATCAATGGTCCAGAAATGTTTAACAAGAAAAAGGGGGAGAAAAGAGACATGACACAACACGAAAATGTATAAGCAAGACATTTTTTTTTCTAATGTCTAACAATGATTCATCTGCAACATTTTCAGATAAATATGACAATGTCTGATACAAAAGCTCAGTACAAGATACAGCCAATCAACAGTACAAAAGAGTTTATATATATATATATATATATATTTGGCTTTTTTTTGTTTTTTGGGGGGGGGGGACCACTTAAACTCCTGCTACATTGCCATACCTTTTTTGTTGACTGTAGCCGGCAATGTTGTCCCAAGAGATTTCCTGTTTTGCATGATCTACATTAGGTTCAGTAAGTCCAAAAATCTTCACTCCCATGGCCTCCAAACTGGCAACAGTTTTGTCCATTGGAGGAGCCCTAGTAACGTCACCCCTCGGTCTTACTGCC